CTGTATTCCATAACCTCGAGAAAATGGAAAGTACCAAAAGCTTCTCGTAATTGATTTAAAAGCTTTAAAAAGCCGGAGCGAAACATCTCAATTCAGTTGTTTACTTAGTTGCTATAATTTTGAAATCGGATTACCTTTCTTCACGCTTTGAATTGTGTTCTATTTAACGTTTTAGTAGTTCAAAATATAACTACTGTGTGATATTGTGCAAATATCTGTGAGTAAAAATTTCAGCATTTTGTTTTTATTTCTTGTGATAAGAATAAATTTTATTAACTTTTCATCAGACTTGTGCATTCAACTTATTACGAATCCATACGCACTCAACAATTTCTTCTAACATTGGAATAATTATGTTTCCTTTTCCCTGTATTTTTTGATTAAGCTGATAAGGCTCTTAATCATTGCCAACTTAAAGAATTTTTTGTTGAAATGGAGAGTGAGTACGTAGATCTTCTGTTGCATAACAAAATACGTTGGTCAACAAGCGGGAACATTTTGAAATGTTTCGCGTACTTATTAACAGAAGCATTTCTTCTAGAAAAGGGTGTTTATTGTCCAGAACCAACGAACGATCAGTGGATCCAAAAATTTTATTTCGTGGTAGATGTTACGTCTCATCTAATAGCTATAATACAGTTGATAATCTCAATCACTAATTCGATAACTTTGCAAATGTCTTCTGGAAATGTCTGCTCACAAAGCGCTGCTTGATGAAGGATACAATAGTAAAAGTAACTCGTGACTAATAAATGAGACACTGCACTGAAATCAGTACAATGGCACATTTATCAGTCACGAGTTACTTACTTTTCCCGGGTTACTTACTTTCATGAGTTACATTTTTATTTCAAAATAGCATATCTTTAGAATTTATCAATACATCAGTAAATATCCTACTAGAATCAGTACAATGGCGATTTTAACTTGATACACTAAATAATGTAACAATGAAATTTTGTGTCAAAATATCTGGGTTTTTAGTTTTAGACACTTCCAATTTGAATTTTTTTCATATTATATGTAACCGAAACATCATCTATGTATTTTATTTTGCCTAAATTGAGTTGCTAAGAAAATTTTTGTTTCAGACACTGGAAAATACTTTCAAGTTTGAAAGGTCTAAGAAGCAGAAAATTCTGATATTTTGAAACTAAAGCTTCATTTTTACGTTATTTGGTTTCTCATTCAAGTTAAAATTGTCATTGAATGGTATATTAATTCAAAGCATTTCATTAGTTAAAATTTGGCATGTGACAATTACCGCAACGGGAGTACGACCTCTTTCTTAGAAATAGTATAGGAGGATATGTTTTCGGTTGTTTTTATGGGTGTCCGCCGATAACATCGTGGCAAAAACATCGCGGACGAAAACGTCGCAGAGAAAACAACGCAAGGCGAAAACGTCGCGCTACAAAACATCGTGGGAGAAAACATCGCAAAGAGAAAATATCGCAGTTCTAAAACATCGTGGTACAAAACATCGTCGTCGAAAATAAAGCGGTTGAAAAACTTCGCAGTTTAAAAACATCGTCGTCGAAAATATCGTAGTAAAAAATAAAGTATTTACAAATGATCGCATGACGATAACATCGCAGACACACTTTTTTCAGGCTTTAATAACTGTAAATGGATATTCCCATAATGATTTGTGAGCGCAAGATGGAAAGAAGGATAATTTGTTTTTCATATTTTATATTAACTAATAAATTTTTGCTGAGAAAATAAGAATGAAACTTAAGCATATAAAATTAATGCAACTTATAGCACTTAATAGAATTTTAAACCGACATAGTTAACCAACAAAGACCATTAATAAATCATTTTTTATAAAGTTTTTACTGGTAATTTTTCATAAAAATTATAATCTATAAGTTGCATTTAATTTTCTATGCTTATGCTTCCTTCTTACTTTTTCAGCAAAAATTTATTAGTTAATAAAAAAAAGGTGAAAGTAAAAATTATCCTTCTCTACATCTTGCGCTCACAAATTATTATGGGAATATCTATTTACAGTTATTAAAGCCTGACAAAAGCATGTCTGCGATGTTATCGTCATGCGATCATTTGTAGATACTTTATTTTTTACCACGATATTTTCGACGATGATGTTTTCAAACTGCGAAGTTTTTGAACCGCTTTATTTTCGAGGACGATGTTTTGTACCACGATGTTTTCTCTTTGCGATGTTTTGTAGCACGACGTTTTCGCCTTGCGTTGTTTTCTCTTCGACGTTTTCGTCCGCGATGTTTTCGGCTGTAACCGTTTTTATGCTTGTGTAAAATCTGACGGCCTTTGTGTTGTATTTTCAAAATTTTCTTGCTTTTACGTGCGCATGACCGCATGTGCTATTCTGTGGAAGAGCCACACGCTTATTCACAAAGCCTACAGACCGTTTCTACTGCTGTTTGCTCCGATTGGTTAAAACAGGAAACGTAGGGTTACAGAACCTAGTGCTTGGCGACTTTTGATTCATCGCCTTTACAATTTGTGTTTGAGCCTGGTGTACCAAAAATTGCGCACAGCCCACCAGAGAAACCGCAGCTCAGCGGTAACGAGCGCGGAAAAAAATTCTCAGACCTCCAGATCGCCTGTTCTATTCCCGCTCGTAGCTTTCATGAATTCTACTCTACACGTATTTGTTTTTATTTTAACTTTATTCAATGACTTTGTCATTATTTGTCTTTTCGCCTTCGGGTGCGGTGTTAAAAATTAAACGCCTTTATTTTCTCTTTTTTTGTTCATTTTTCTTATTTCTATTTACTGGTTTGTACTCTTTGCAGTAGATACCAGTAGCAAGATTACGATCAAGATCCCGAAAAGCATTTCAATAGAAATAGCGCAGATGGAATAAAATATAATTTTAGTTATACTTAATTTAGGTAAAAAAAAAAAATAGGTATCCGACGCTCTTAAATGTTTACTGAATGTTTTCATTTGGTTTATTTTTAACATTCCTTTATTTGTATAAATGAATGCGCTATGGAAATTTACACATCAGACTCTTTCTGACAGAAATGACGAAAAAGTGCATAATCTCCATGTAAACACCTTTTTATTGTAAAACAATTACGTACTTTTAAAAGTTTAAATTCAAATACAAATAAACTATCAATAAGATCAGTAAGTTATTTAAAATATATTCCACACAATTCCTCCAAACTTTCATTCATAAACTAAAAAGATATCGAATGAAATAAACGCTGTTTCTGTTTGTTTGGCGTTAATTACCACGCCTACAGGGCGATAACTAGCCATTCCAAATATGACCGCCAAAAAGATGTTTCATTCAATGAGAGCAGACCGTAGTGAAATGGTCTGTAGGCTTTGTGAATATGCGAGTCACACTCAAGGAGCCAAAGAGTCACATTTGGCCGTCCACTGGACTAGTCGATTCAATAGTGAAAGTTTCCAGCGATAATACTGATAATGTCTTAGCGATTCTTCCACGATTTTTTGCGCGTTTTATTTCATTTATTTATTTATTTATTTATTTTTTGTGAGAATTAGTTCTGTAGTTAATAAATGGTCATTAAGTTAGGTTATTTGAATATGGCAAAATACTCGAGAACTATTTGCAGGGGTTGGACGGCTTCGCGGAAATCTTTCTGACGGAAAATGCCTCATATTCCCGTTATTCATTAACTAATATAATAGTAAAAATTATAAATTGTATAAATTCGCGAACTCTTCAAAGCAAACTCATAAAAGTAAATTATTTCAACACCCCATTCAGCTTTTTGTTTGCTTGTTTTAGAATGTACAATAATTTTACCATCATTATTATAATGTTAAGAATTTTGTACGTAGATAGATGATTTTAGTGCAATTATATGTGAAATTGTTGTATTTTTCTGTGTAATGAAACATCAGAAAAATCTAAAAGAGATAAGCTATATCGGAAAAGTAAGAATACAAGGGCAAGTGCATTTAACATTGATTAAATGAGTATCTCGGTAATTTGGCGAGATATCGCCATGCTAAAAACGTTTTTGTGAGTTATTTTGTCCCCAAATTTGGCGCTAAAACGCCAAAAGCCGTTAAATAACTTGGCGACATTTTGGAGCGGTCCCTGGATCACCGAAATATGCATTGTAATTGAATAAATGCAATTGTTAGCTCTAACCGTAATTCTACCCTCAGATTGCTTTCCAGTAATTTCGAGAAGCAGAAAGTACTAGAAATATCTCGGCAGGATATCTCTCCGACATATACGGCCGGAGAGGGCATCTGCCCTCACTTTAGATGCGCTTTACATTGCATTGTGTTTAACGTTCTTAGTAGTTTGAAGCGTAACTACTGATTGTACTCTTTGATACTGTGAACACCTTTACGAGTATTTCTGTGAAAAATTGCAGAACTTTGAAGTATGCTTTTGATAAAATAAATTTTATTAACCTATCATCGGAACTGTGTGCTTTCGATCTATTACGAACCCGTACGCACGCAACAATATTTTGAGAGACTTATACATAATTTATAATTTTCAAAATTAGATAAAGCCACAATTTAATAATTTATATTTCAGAACACTGAAACATTCATCTAAGTGAATTACAACGCACTCGTTTAAAAATCTCTACTTATCTGTATTTTTTTAGAATTTGATCTTTTCCTAAAAAATTTACTAATTTGTAATTAATTGCTTGATTAATTTAGAATATAACTTTTTGAATTCATATTTTTAAAATCTTATGAAGCATACATTATTAAAATAACAAATTTGGATTTAAATTCTACAAGAATCACTTATGCATTTATTTAAGGACAGAAGACTCATTTTGAAGTAAAATGCAAGTAAATTTAGCAGTCCAATTAAATGATAAAATTTATAACAGTCACAGATTAAAAAAAAGATATAAATTGAAAAATAAGCTATTTTATAGTTGGTGTTTAATATGTTGTAGCAACAAGAGCAAGAAAAGCGAAAAAAAAGAAAAAAGAAAAAAAAAAAAATTCTAAAAACAAAAGTAAAACTAAGATATAGCATTAAGACTTACTGGTTCTTTTTCCCACCAGAAAGACTCGAATGATTCAGGACGTCCAAGTTTAAACAATTTTTTTTTAATAGGATCATACATAGTATTATCTATTATTCCATGAGACTGAGGATATAAACCCTAAAAAGCCAAAAAAGAAGAAAAAAAACGTAAACATTATTCACAGAAATAATGAAAATTATTCATTTTTTCTTTAAAGGTTTAACTGAATATAATTCTATTAGCGCAACAAGATGTTATTTTTTCATCGCATAAATAAGATTATAAAAGAAAAATGATTTAAAAATGCTGTGTAATAAAAAATATAATGTATAATTCCGCTAATAAAGCCATCTCTCTTTTTTCCTATTTATCTAAAATATACAGATATGCTGCGAAATAAAATACGTTCTTCTAATGAGAAATTATAGTACTTTAGAAATTTAGCAAATGCTAGACGTAAAAGATCAACAATAAAATAAAAGCAAGCGCACTCCTGGCCATTAAAATTTATATGCCATGGAAAAGTGCATAAAAAATATAAAATTTGCTCGAAAGGTGGAATACGTCGGGATCAGCAAAAGGTTGGCTTTTCATGACATGCACACATTACAGGCAAAAGTAATGACTTCTAAGTAACTTAAAAAAAAAAAAAAAAAGATTATAATGCCAATTTTTCATTTGATAATCGTATTTACTCGTTGTTTTGCGTTAGAAATCACATTATTCCTCATATAAAAAAAATTTCAAAAGAAACCCTCAACGACTTCGCCGGGATTCGAACTCCAGACCACTCGAACACGCGTCAAGCGTGTTTCCAGCTACACCAAGAAGACATGCGGAAAGAAGGGACACAATACCTTATAAAGTGGAGGAATCTGGCAAGAGAGACTGTAGCAACTGATTTCTAAATCTATTTTAGCTTTGTATGTTGAGATCGCCGCTCGTCATTTTTAGAACTTGTTTTTCTTACAGACTTCATTATTAGTTATAAATATAACACGTTCATCTTTAATTTTGTGGAATTCGAGGTTTGATGTTATAACTATACACGTGTCAATAACACTTCTAACAATATGCATGCATAAAATTATATGCTACAATGCTGGCAACGGTGCTAATGTGCCATTAAAGCATATCACTTAGGAAAGCATAATTAGGGATTGTAATTACGCAAATATTACTGCTTATTTTAAATGTAAATTCTCTTGTAGCATTTTCTTGTATTGCAATTGTTTATTACAGCTATAACTATTTTTTTTACTATAAAGTCTGCAAACATCGTAAATAACTGAGTGAAATTTATTCTGGAAATTTCAATTAGTATATGGAAATATAGTCAAATCTCTACTTAACGAACACTCTATTCTATGAATTCGTCTATTTAGTGAAGTCTTTTGGGGGAATTCTGCCTTAGGTGTGAATTTCGTCCCATAAATAACTCCAAACAGCAAAGTTCAGTTTGTTTTTAACAAAGTTTTAAATGGATAATTTTTCTACATTTTTTCCTTCTATTTTAAAATAATTTAGTTATTTGCTGTGATACGTATGTGCGTCCAGCTGTGGCCCTAAAGAAAAGCAGGTGGCTCGTTATCTGTTGTCACGATTCATTCTACAAGAAGGATGAAGTGGAGGAGGAAGGACTCTCGAATGAGTAAGTATTTACCCAACCCAGGGGTCTCCAAACTTTCCAGCCTTAGGGCCATACTGATTACTCCAGTAAGTTCCGAGGGCCAAAACCATATTATCATTGTTGCCGGTGGTAAAAAGTGAAATAGTCCACTGATGAAAAAAAAAGTCCGAAAAAGTACGCAACGTTTAAAAAAGGCTGCAACTCGGAATAAAGTCCGCAAAACGGCAACACTGCATATTATTAATTTTCCTGTCATTATCTGTAATTTCTAGATTAGTCGTATAGTACGAGCCATGAGGAGTAACGTGACACGACATCTGGTGGACACAAGCGGAAATAGCTAGTAACCTTCTATCGCTAACAGATGGCGCTAATAGCACGTACAGAAGTCAGTTCCTATGACACTGTTGTGAAATAAAATAGTGCGTACCTCCTTAAAACGTGTTTGTGCGTGTTTAAGTTTAAGACATCTTTGTAACAGTATTTTGATTTGAATTATTGCTTTTGTGTGTGATTTAGTAGTATGGAAAAGAAGCGAAAAATTGGTAGTGAATGCAGAAAATTCAAAGATCAGTGGAACATTCAGTATTTCGTAATTGAATCCAGTAACAAGGCGCTATGTTTGATTTGCAATGAAAGCATAGCCGTTCTCAAAGAATATAACATTAAACGTCATTATGAAACAAAACATTTTCAAAATTACTCAAAATATACACGGACAGAAAAATTCGAAGCTATGAAGCGCGGATTGAAATCTCAGCAATCTTCATTACAAAACTCAAAACTGAACAAGAGGCTGCAACTCGTGCCAGCTTTTGTGTGGCTCTTGAAATTGCAAAACGTGGAAAACCATTCACCGATGGAGAAATGATCAAAGAAAGCATAATTGCAGTAGCCGAAGAAAATATGCCCTGAAAAGGTAAATTTATGAAAAACTGTCAGTATGTCATTAAACACTGTGGCTCGAAGAGTAGAAATCATTGCTGAAAATATATTCTCTCAACTGTTCGACAAAAAATGGACATGTTGAGTGGTTTTCTTTGGCCTTGGGTGAGTCAACGGATGTGTCAGATACTGCTCAGGTGTTGATTTATATTCGAGGAGTAGATAAAAAAGCTATGAAGTGCATGAAGAACTTCTTGATATGTATAGTATTCATGGCATAACTACTGGTACAGATATTTTTAAAGGAGTTGAAATGGGCCATTAATCAAAAGAACCTTCGATGGAAAAACTTGAAATGTATTACAAACTGATGGAAGCAAAAACATGAGTGGGAAAGATAAAGGAGTGGTCGCTCTTGTGTCAAAGGCTGTAGAAAATGAGGGTGGTTCAAAACCATTAGTCTTACATTGTATCATTCATCAACAGTCTTTGTGCGGAAAATGTTTGGATATGTCTGAAGTTCTGAAACCAGTCATATCAACTGTTAATTTTATCAGATCTTTTGGGCTGAATCACCGACAATTCCGACAATTTATTGAAGAGATTGGAGAAAATGACTTACCTTATCATACTGCGGTACGTTGGCTTAGTTGTGTGGGAATATCCTTCAGCGCTTTTTTGAACTTCGAGCAGTGATCGAAATTTTTTTGAATGAAAAGCATCGCCCTCTTACTGAATTACAAAACAACGCATGGCTGTGGAAGTTAGCATTCTATGTTGATTTGACAAAACATGTGAACGAACTGAATTTGAGATTGCAAGGAGAAAACCAGAATCTTCCTGATTTATACACTAATACAAATCATTCCGGAAGAAGTTGATACTGTTTCAATCACAACTACGAAGTAAATGTTTTTCACATTTTAAAACATGTGAAATATTCAGCCACACCACTGAGACTGAGTTTCCTATCGATTTTGCAATCGAAACTTTGAGTGCTTTTAAAATAAATTTTGATACTCGTTTCTCGGACTTTGATGCCATTGCGAATCAAATTAAGATTTTTCAGAATCCTTTTGATACTGACATTGAAACCCTAGCCCCGGAACTTCAAATGGAAATGATTGATCTACAGTGCAGTGATATAATTAAGAACAAATATCAAAACTCATCTTTGGAATTTTATAAGAGTCTTCCACTGACACAATTTGATAATTTGCATAAATTTGCTCGTGGGCTGTTTTCTGTTTTTGGTACTACTTATTTGTGTGAGAAGACCTTCTCCAAAATGAAATACACAAAAAATGTTTACAGATCTAAATTAACTGATGAGCATCTTAAATCTCTTTTAATAATTGGTACAAGTAAAATTAGTCCACAACTACAAACTATTGTCAGTGGAAAATCTCAATTACATAAATCTCATTGGTATTTCATACGTCATTATGCTTGTTATAAGTTATGTTTTTATTTAAAATGTATAAAATGTTAGTTGGATTCATTTCAATAATTTGTTAGTTATTATATACTGAAGTTAAATTTTCTGCATATTATACATGTCTTTACTCATTACAATTCTGTGTTTCTTTATCCAACTTATCACAAAAACAATAACAATAAGCCTACAACAATGTTATGAGTAGTTAGCCCATGACCATATCAATGTAGATGTCATATTAATAATTATTCAACATAAAATTAGAATACTTCAGTAAACTAAATTTAATTTGCTATAAAAAATATGTTCTCTAAAAGGAGTTTTCAAGTATGCTAGCTCTCCGCGGGCCAGATGTGGCCCTCGGGCCGTAGTTTGGAGACCCCTGACCCAACCTATCGCTGAAGGTTAAGCAATAGCTTCACATTATTTTTATTTCTGCTTTCCGTGGTTCAGTACTGCATATTCTTTTTTATAGTTGTGTTTTGTATGACAAAATGTCGAAACGAAAGAAAGTGTCTAACACTTAAAGAAAAAATGCTGATTCTCGACGAAGTGTATAAAGATGTAAAGAAGAGAGACAATGCCATAAAATTCGGTATTTTGCAAAATAGTTTATCGGAAAATCAGGATAAATTTTCTTTAAGCTATGATTTTAAAGATCCAAAGGCATAGCATAAGAAAAAGTGCCTTTATGAAGATGTTGATGAAGCAACGTTAAATGGCCGCACAGAGTGAGAGGAAAAAAATGTACCGGTATCAGCGGCTATTGACAGTAGAAAAAGCTACGGTTTTCAAAAGCTTTAGTGCAAAGCAAATTCTAAACAATCCACGAGTGACTGGAGAAATTAAAAAAAAAAAAAAAAAAAAAAAAAAGAAGACATAAAATAAAATCATATGTGGCGAAAACAAAGTTGTAAATGAAGCTGACTGTATCAAATGATCTAAGATCTATGTAATGTATCTAAGATCTAAGATGTATCTAAGATAAAAAACTAAAAGAAATCATGGAAACGTTCAAGCCAAAAGATACATTCAACGTCGACGAAACTAGCTTATCTATCAATGTTTAGCGCAGACAACATTAGCATTTAAAGAAGAAATATGTTTCGGAGGTTAGCACAATAAAGTTAGAAGAACTATACTACTACGAGCAAATATGAAAAGAAATGAAAATCTGAAACCTTT